GTGGGAGAACTTGCACAATTGGTGGCTGACTAAATACTTTTTTGCCCCACTGTACTTTCTTCAGTAATAGCCCCCTATTTGAGAAATGTATTACCAACTAGAATTTAAAAGGTTCCATCATTTCAGTTTTTTAAAAAAAACTTAAGTGATTCATTTTTCGTTGGGGGGTTTCATTAGATTGCCGAATTGCTGCTTCTTAGCATGGATTTTGAGCACACTTAAGTTGTTTTTATCTTGGAAATATAAAAGCAGCTTGAAGATATTTAGCATTTTAAAAAATTATAACATTAAATATATAATAGCAATCACAAATTATGGGAAAAATTATTTTAAAAATAGAGCTAGTTTTGCCCTAAGTTTAGAACTTTATAAATAAATTGGATTACAAGGCAACTGTGAAGTCAGTAAGGCTAATTCAAGACTGATGTTTTACAGTCCTGTAAAATATATATCAGACAACAATATGGCCCCCATATTTTGCATTAGCTGTACTTTCCAATCACTTTAGGGAAGCCCTACATAACAAACATAAAGACTTAAGATACATGAAGGAATACCAAGCTTCCACCCGATGTTCCAAGAGCAGCCTCAGATCCAAGAGTATTGCAAAGCTGCACACACAATAAAATATAAAATTATAATCTTTTACCATTACTGAAAAAATGTATGTTCAGGAATTATATAAAATTGGGGAGTTGTGCCATATTTGTAGCAAATTCAGTGAAAAAAGTGAGGGCTACAAAACTGAACTATCAGCACAAATTTGCTCTACACTTTAAGCTGCACTTAAAGATTTTAAAAATTAGACCACTAATCGTAAGGTTAAAAAGTTTAAGAGATACCGGAAGTAATCTATATATATTAGTACAATTACACATGAACAATCTCCAACTTTTCTTGTATAAAAAAATATACACTAGGACTTGTCCCAATGTATTTGAGTAAAAGTCAATAAGCATTTTAAATAATTAAATATAATTTCTAATTAAATAATTTCTAGTTGAAAATCTGTTCTAATGCATATTCTAATATATCTTCATAGTGACATTGGTATTAATTATCATAGCCACATCTTCTGCCACAGGCAACCATGTGGCTACTCAAATTGCTAGTAAGAATGAGTCAAATTTTTTGACATTACATGGTTACAAGTCTTGACAGAACTCTCTCAGAGATTACCTCTCTTGCTTTGATCCTATTCCGATACTAAGTCCTCCAGCAGATATCCATTTAAAGATGGAAGCCTCTAGCATTTTGAGGCTTCTCTGATGTGAAAGTGGAAGAGTATCTTCTCTGTGATTCCAAAACCACAGATTGTGCTTCCTTGGGTACTGCATTTGGTCCTGACTGGATCCATGAAGACAGTTTGCTTCAACCAGTCTCTTTTCAACTATTAATCTCAGAAATGTGAATATTCAAAAAGTAGGATCGCTATCACTAATCATAAGGTGCTCAATTAAAATAGCTAAGGAGACAACTCCATCTGTCTAAGCTGGGAGGAATATCTATTTCTACATTCATCAGCTCACCAACAAAACAATGTGTGTTTTTATTATTCACCATCCTTTTTGTTAGTAGCCATTGTGAATCTGTTCTGCATTTTATTTTTCTCCATTGTTTATAATCATTACCACCATAACTCAGAATAACATGCTACATATAACCCAGAATGCTTATACTAAAATAGTTTGAAATCTTTAAGGTACTACAGTTATAAGCCCAAAAACTTCAACAATTGACAGTATGGAAAGCTGTTATACTCCTCTCTGGTTGCCAAAACCATCTATTTGGCATTTTTTTTATTAAAAGTTTTTTATTACAAGATAGGGCAGGGGGAGGGATTAAATCTATCCAGCCTAGCTATGATTTAGCACAAGTGGAATCCAATAAGCATGACATATATTACAGCCTCAATTGTTTAATAATAATAGCTTTCAATAATAGTTTGAAATATACTGTGACTGATATAATATTTACTGCACACCTGGAAATATCTGCTAATCATCTAAATTACCGCATTCCTGAAGTTTGCACAAAGCAATTATTAATCTAGATGCATCTTCAAAATCCTCCATATTATGACTGAACATAAGCTTATTTTTCATCTTTATATATCACTGCTTCTCTGTTTTGATACATATATTCTGCTACAGCATGAGCCAATAAAGCAAAGTGTTACTTCAGCCAATATGGTTACTATGTGGGTGGAAAGAAAACCAATCCCAGGTTTGAATGATATCCTTAGTGATGTTTTTTACACTCACTCCAGAATAGAAAATGGTACAATGGCTAAAGAGAAATACTGTATTTCCTAAGCCTGCAATAGTCTATTTTTGTAGGGAACGGTAATTCCAGTAATTATATAATGTGGGCCTTTACTATTAAAATAACCAATTATCTATATTATATATTAAATGAAAGCACCTTGAGTTAGTCACTTTAAAAATAATTTTATTGCTTCCAATGTATAGAAAAGATAAAAACCAAAGATAACAAAATAAAAAGGATAAATACATACACATATACTAGAATTCACAAATAAGAAAATCTCAGTATTTTTAATAATTGATTAAAACAAACACACAGAAGATTATCGGTCAACGTTTGCTCAGTGCTGACAAAGGAAAAAGTCTGTGAGAATGAGCAGACACAATCAATTTAAGCCTCATAGACAATCATGAGGTGGGCACAAATCTACCTATATCAAACATCTGTTTATTAGGTGCAGTTAATACTACAGCCTAGTGGGAACAATCTGCTAACACTCCCAGAAAGTCTGTAGCTCAGATAATTAGACTTTAGAGAGAGATGACTCTGTTGCTTGGGTGCACATACTTCTGTAATATTGTTTTGTGCGTTCATCCAACCCCCTTCAACATGAACCTCCGAAGCTGACAGAGTTTGGTTTAAGATGATCATCAGCATAACTCATCTGACCTATATTGCTGCAACATTTTTTTAAAAAAAAGCTTATACACAAAAAGCGTTTCACAAACGATGCAATCTGTGACTGCTTTTAAAGACTTAATTTCACGCCTGATATTATGTTAATCACCAGGCTTCTACCCCACAAGTTTACAGAAAGCGATCAACTGAAACTGGGGAGAAAATGAACCAAGTTAACCTCCCTCCACCGTCAGATTTGACTGCTAGGGCGGAGTCAGACGCTACACAAAGAGGTAAAGAGCAGGGAAGGCACGGCGGCAGGAGGGGGAGCAACGCTTTGTTCAATGGCGGGTCCTCTTTTTCAGCGCTCTTTATCCTGACCAGCCCCGGGTCCCTCCCGTTTCCGAGATCTCCCCATTACCTTCCACAACGCCGCAGAGGAATCGCCGTGCTCCCCCACTGCCCACAGCTCCGGCGCCACTCTCGGGAACCGTTTCTGGGCCCGAGGGGTCCGGTCTTGTAGGGGGCGACTCACTTCGAGGTGAGGAAACGGTCGTAGAACTAGGACCGGATGCGCTCTGAGATTCCCCCCGCGTCTCAGCGACCATCCCGGCCAGATCTGCTCCAGGACTACCGTCCGCCGCCATCGCCCTTCCCCGCACTCTAACCGGGATAGGCTGCGCTTGCGCGGAGAAAACCAGCCCCAACTGGTCCAAGCCGGAACCAACCGCTCTGTTCGCTTGATTGCCAACCGGGACCGCGGTTGCTGATCACGTGCAGCTCCACCTCCCTTCCTCCGCGCGCCAGCCAGAAACATGAAGCGAGAGCAAACCAGTCAACACATCACTGGCTTCAGAGAACGAACGGACTAATTGTAAGGGTGGGGGAGAATGACAGAAAAACTCTACAGCGCAGGCGTGAGGGGCTGGCAGACTATGAACTGCGCATGCTTAACAGGGTCAGAGGAGGAGGGGCACGCCTGTACGCACGCGCAAAAATTAAACGGTTGTCTACTGCGCATGTGACCGGCGTTGGCTTCGTCTCAAGGCGTTATGGCGCATGCGTAGTTACTGTACTGATGCCGGCAGCGGGTACGGCCCAAGTAAGAAGGGAAATAAACAAAGTAGCGGGTGTTAAAGCGCAAGCGCAGAATTTAAAGCGCGAAAGGGAATGATAATTTTGTTTAAGCTAACGTTGCGCAAGGGGGTGGAGTTTTGTGTAGGCCGAAAAGTTCAGCGGCTTCCTTCCGCCTGAGTTTCGTTTCATTACTTGTGTAAAAGAGAAGGAGGAGCTTTACTTTCCTTATTTTGTTTCTGGGTTGCTGAGCAACATTGAGGGCGCCTAAGGGAGGTACTGCATTCCGTCAGCCATCTAACCGACAAGATAAAAACGAAATAACTCAGCAATACATACTAGAAAAGTTGTATTTCACCGATAAACCAGAAAGGATCTCTTTTCGATTGCCGTATTTCTAAGCGGTAAAAATCCTGTCCTAAACCCTGGAGAATTATCGGCAGTCAGGCAGCCCTGAGATAGAATGGGGCATTAATTTGGTTGGCTTATTCAGTAATTGTCCTGTTTCTAATTTTCACCGGAGAATCTCGTCTTTCCAGTATCAGCTGGCTATATTGCCTAAATATATTACTTCTTGGCCAAAGCGGGAAAAATGTAAGCCTTCCGACTCCAGCTCGACTGCTGATAACTCCTGGATGATCTTGGCAACTTCGCAATTGCCGCCTTCCGTGATGTTTTTTGGACTTCGCAGGCTCTGAGTTTCCTCGCACGAGAGAAAGGGTAATGCCGGTGAAGTCTGCAGCGGATTTGGTGGATTATGAGGAACGAGGAGTGAATCTTGGATTTAATTAGTAGAACCGTGCCAATCTAGCTAATTTAATACTGTTAATTTGATAATCGTTTTACACCTAGAATGGTAAAATACTTGGCAGCATTGATATTGTTTATTTACATCTGCAGTAGCTTTATATATTTACCAAGGTTTAATGGAGCAGGAAATACAAATGCTTTTAAATAAAATAAATATTACCCAGTGTCAAATACTGATATTAATGGGATAGTAATTGACAGAAAAAATATTAAAAATAACCAGTCGTTTGAAAAATTGATTGGAAGGATACACTAAAGAATTGATGGGTAATCTGAAGATAATGTGGCATTGGCCTAATTAAAAAAAAAATCCAAGTTTGGTTGCTGTTTTCTTACAATTTGGTGTGAGATTTGTGTTGAGTGTGTAGCTTTGGATTCACGGATCCAAAGTTCTTCTCCATGTCCCCCACCTAAATTCATGCAATCCTTTTGTGACTTTTCAAGGTTGAGATTTCAGAACAGGTTAAAAAAAAACCTGGAGTCTCATAGCATCTTTTCCAACTAACACATTTTATTAAAAGGCATAAGCTTTCATGAGCTGCAGCTCACTTCATCAGGTGCATAGTGCATCCTACATAATTTATGTAGGATTTAAATTTGTAGGTGGAAAAGTTAAATTTTTCTTCTTTGAGACTGGTACTTCTTTTCCAGTTCTGAAAAGGAAAATCGGAAAAAAATCTCCTGGGTTCCTAGGGTCGCAATCAAACAACTCCAGAGTATCAGAATTACTTGAAAGTTTGTAGTTGTAGTTTTGAAAATAGAGCTGGCTGTCAGTTTTTATAACAACATAGATTTCACCAGCTTGTGGGTTCACAGCATAGCTATTTTGTTGTTGCATTCCCTGATCTTAACATATAAAACAAGAACTTGCAACCTATTTTTTTTTAGATATTTGTTAGAGAACCCTCATATTTCAGTTCCTTTTTTAAACTTAGCAATTCCAATTATTTGTAAATGAAGGAAATATTACAATATCACAAATTTTATCATTCTAGGCTTCTTTGCTGATTGTTACATTTTGTCATTTCTGCACTTAGCAAGACACTTAGGAAGTAAGAAAGTGATGTGAGACCTGTTGTCTCACAAACACGCTGCATTGCCAGTCAGGTAAACTCCTGTTTTAACCACCATTTTGGGTCAACCTTTTTTTCCTCTGTACCTGCAGCACAGATAGGAAGGTCCAGTTGCAATATTGTCAAATAGTTTGGGCAACATGTTTGCAGTAGAAGCAGGGATAGTACATTATTAATTATTGCTGTCATTGACAAATATAAGGATCTTTAAAATTGAACATCTTTACTATTAGTTGTCTTTCTCTTCAAGGAAGACGATTTTTCACATAAGAAATAAAATGCATGGCAGCCTAGCAACATTTCTACTTTGCTGGCTATCCATTCAACAGGCATGGGGAAAGGATTACAGGAAGATATTTTCTATATCAGTAAATCTACTTATAAAGACCTCATAATTGGCACTTTGAGAAATACCCCCCCCCACACACACACACCTATACATGAGCAATAGGGTATTGGACAGGGCCTTGGAAACCAATCTTCAGATTGCCATGAAGCTACTTAGATACCTTACATTGAATCAATCTCAGCCTAATCTACCTCATAGTTTTGTAAAAATAAAATGTGATTTTGTGGCATGGAGAATTTAACAGAACCATGTATTCTGCCCTGAGTTTCTAGAGGACAGCCGGGGTATAAATGTAAGAAAGAAAACAAATTCCAATTCAGAAATTGTTTACTAGTACTTCAAAAGCTAGCTGATCGTGGTAAGTTTTAGCAATTTAATTAGACAAAACCCAGGCCAGCAACATATTTCACAAAAATGGGATGTAAATGTACTTTTAAAGGAAATAAAAGGTTAAAAATTTATTGGAGGAAAAGAATAATTGAAGCTTGAACATCTGCAGAGTTTATGCAGTTGGGATTCAATGCATAGAAAGTGAAATGACAGAATATTGAATTGTATTATGAAATAAAGCTTCACATCCTTTAATGAACCCAGGCAAAAGAGAAATAGAAGCTGTGGCTGCATAGTTTGCACATTTTTTGTTATAGAGATCATATGTATATTTGCATAAATTTACATAATACATTCACCTAGGAAAACTTAGATATTCTGAGATGTGTTGAACCTAAATGTTTACTGTTTCTGCAGACAAATTGTGAGAGTGGTTATACCTGAACTGATAATGTCTAAAAGTACAAAATAGATCTGAGTTTCATCAGGCATTAGATGTGTTCTAATTATGATTGTAATTGGCAGCACTACAGTGCAAAATATAGTTAGGACCTATTAGCATCTAATTTGGAGAACCAGAAGTTTCACTAGTCAGAAGAATCAGTATCAAATATTGAAATAGCTACTTATTCCTCACAAAAGGGCAAAGGGAACAATCAATACAGCCAACAAGTTTTAAAGAGATTTTATATAGAATCTGTAAAATTTATTATAATTGTGGAGTCCTTGGGGTTCT